TTGTGTTTATGGCTTGTTTCTGCTGCCTAAAAACAGTTAATATTGGCTTTCTTTCAGATGTTTTGACAAACAAGGTATGTACTGTATAGGTTCAACTACCCAGCATTCATAGCCTGAAACAGCTAGTGAATGCAACTGGTGAAAGACACACAAAGGAGAGAATAGTGCGTTAACGAATGAGTTCTCCTGAAATGGTGTTTTTATTAAAGTTCTTCTAGGAACACAAAGGGCTGCACTGTATGTCCCCTTGTTGACAATGTTTATTACAATCACACAACATAATCTCATACATATCTGCTCTGAAACTTTACACTGAGTAGAGGAATTCTAAACAGTTTTCAGTTCAGTTCTTGTTTACTACATGATGAAGAGTCAAAGGTCAAATCCAGGTATGTTTAGACCCCCTAACCTAACCTAAGGTATGTAAAGACAACAAAGGTACCCACATTCACCTGCATGAATAGCAGGGGGATACAGGTAACCCTCGGTCAGACAGGGAGCCTCTCTGTCAGGAACATTTAGCTCTCTAAATGTGAGGAGGGCAAATCTATCACTACGCTCAAAACCTGTCACTCTCAGCGAGGGGAGAAAGAGAAGGGGCATCTGTAGGAATGTTAAAAATCTTTCAGGGGGTAGCGTGTCTTTACAGGAGAAAGGGGGAACCTTTCAGAGTAGTAGAAATGCTGTCAGAAAGTACATGGCGTCTTCGTGACCCCGCCGCTTGTCACGCCTTCATCAACAGGGTCATGCACCGGTGCACCACGCAAACTGAGACAGCATCAGAGCTGCAGGCGCAGCCAACCGGCTCTTATATCAGCCTTGCGTGTATTGTCCACGGAGGGGAGGGACATTTAGTCATTCAGCACTTCACTTAAAGACAAATGGCTAGTTATGGCAGCATAAATCTGCTGAAAATAACTGTGGGTTGGGCTTTCAACTGATCTTTGGTTTCTGTTCCTACTGAATTAATGTGACAAAAACTTAAACAGGATAAACATGAATAATCAGAATATGGGGATAAGTGATTCCCAGCCCCACTCACTGCTCCAGGAGAGGTACCTCCAAAATAACTTGCAGTGCACCAAGAACAAGTCCATCAATCAAATGGAAATGAAGTGTCAGTGCGTGCTGCAGGGCCGAGAGAGTTCACCTGCAGGCTGGAATAAGTTACTGAGCCTTCAACAGCTGCAGAGGAGAAGCAGAAAGAAGGGGAAATCAGTCAAACAGAAAGACTGAGTGACAAGAACCTCAGAAGTGACTGATCCTCATTTCTTTAAAGGCAAATATAATCTATCAAGGCTTTCAAATCTTCCCTGTCATTCAAGTTAGACCCTGAACTAAATTGAGTTCACCATGAACATTTTGCATTACAGAATATGCGTGAAAGCTTACACATGATGGTATAATCTCATAATGCATCTCACTCAAAATGCTTATTTTGGGGTCTTTGACTTCATGCTCACTCTTTTGATGCAATATTTTCAGCCTGGTCTTTTGAACTCATGTTTGACCACAGCAGTTTTAGAGTAAAGTAAAGTTTGCTGTTCATCGGTAGTTCCCAACATACTTATACAGTCTACATACAGCAGAGGGCCCTGTTTGTGCTTCACTGGAAGGGGTGTTGCTGATGATAGAGAGAAAAGAGCTAGGGGAAGAAAAAGAAAGGAATGTGAGGTGTTGATAAATGACTTCAAGTGTTGAGAAAACATCTGTCTTCAGTATTGAGGATATAAAGATTTAAGATAGAGACAGAACATAAAGCAGATAGGCAGGATTTATCTAAAAATAAGAAGTTGTACTCAAACTCTAAAGACTAAACACACTTTTTAGAGCAATTTTAGATTAGAGCAAAATTTCATGAAAAATTATTTTTTTCCGTGTGGTAGATGAATGTTTTAGGAGGGGTAGTAAATGTATAGAGTTTGGTTAGGGTGTTGTGTTTTTATGGTAGGGAGTGACTAATAAGACTCTGGTCACAGTCACAGGGTCAGCTCAAAGGACCATTTGTGTTGAAGACCTCAAACTTATATGTGTGATTTACAGCAGTATGTAATTAGGATAACAGATGTGTTTTTGGTCAGATGTATTGAAAGGTATATAAGGGAGAGCATTTTGGAAGTCCAGGAAGAACGTCTATGCTGTGGTCTTCTCTCCATGCTACATGAGTAAAGAAATATGATTCATCACACTGGGTTCATAATTCTTCAGAGAACTAGCAACTCTCAATATTATGGAAGAATTTCCCCTACATCCGTTTTAACATTTTTAACAGAAGAACATGGCTTACAGCTCCTCAATGCTGTGCATGTTATTAAAAGACAAAGCTAGTATTGTGCCAAAAAATTAGCTGCAAATGTTTACAGTATGAAGAATAAATGTATAATATGGACAACGGCTTAAATTTATTAAAGACACACTGACAGTCTCCCTACATAGACACACACATACCGGAGAGTTAGCCTCTCTCGTTAGCTTAGCTACATACAGGTACCACACAGAGGCTTTAACAAATGGCCGTCAATGGACTTCGAGTGACTGTAAAAGTTCCAGCTCGAAATGTTTCCAGCATAAACATGGAGGGTCTGGTGCTACACTGCTGTGGTCAGTCAGTCAGTCACTCCGGATGGTGTCGAGGCTACGCCCCTTAAAGTCACTGTCCTGTGCATGTCTCTGATGCATATATTTAATTAACTGAGAGGAAGGGGAGCTGAAGGATGTAGTTTCACTTTAAAAAGAGCACCTGCAACTGTGGTGTCTCAATAAAGGGTCATACAGATGTTTATAGAGGCAAACCTTCAACCAAGCACTGTGACAACTTGCGGAGCCTTTGCACTCTGATGTGATTTCACTTTTGGCATACATCCTCGTGCTGGAAACTTAACTACTCAAGTCTGTAAAAAAGAGACCATAGTCAGAGATAGATAGATAGATAGATAGATAGATAGATAGATAGATAGATAGATAGATGCTGCAGAGACAGTTGGCCGTTTTCACCTAGAGGTGTTTGGGTGAATACTAATTGGAGGGTAAGAAAGAGTCCCATTGATGACGGAGCACAATAGAGAAGCAACACAAGCAAAAAACAGAAGAATCCCATTATTTCATCTTCTTTCCACTTTGGACGGTGTTTGTGTGACCGCCGCCTGCTGTCACTGCGTGGAGACCGTGACTGTCACAATGCCGCCCTTGTGCCCGGGGGCCACGGCGGCAGAGGAAACTAGAGCCGACACAGCTTCCTCTCCCACTGCCCCCAGAGCTGTGTAGGCAATAACAAAGATGGCTGAATGCACACTATAGTCCGCTCTGGCAACAGCCTTCTGGGAAAGGTTAGAATACACAAGAAGGCTTGTTGTCCGCAGGGTTCAGAGATGGCTCATCACTGTATGCACTGTACGCTACAATATGTTGTTTGACAGCAGGAGCCAAGATCGTAACTTGGATACTAATTTGACTTATTTATCAGTCCAATGTGGATGCATTTATCCCTGGAGATTAATTTTACAAAACAATTCCCCAGGAATTTAAACATAAGTGTCTGTTGAAGGTAGCAAACAGTGGAAAATAAATTACCCTTGACTGGGGTAATTTGTATTGGACTGTAAGGTTTTAGGATTAGGACGGACAAAAGACACAAGACATGTTCTGTCTCTCAGTTCATCACAGAGTCCATGATATCACACCATAGCCAGTGACAGTTTGGTTTGCTCAGAATCCCCAGAGATGCCTTACATGCAGTGCACAGACAGGTCTTTGTACAATCTCATCAATTCAGAAGGAATGGTGACACCCACACAGTTAACGAACAAGCTAATTAGCTAATCATTAGCTAATGAGCAAGCATGTTAACCCGTCAGCGAGCAAGCTCAGTAGCTACTGTGCAAGTTTTTCAGGCACTCAGTGCACAAGTTATTTCAAATGTGATTTGTTAGAAATGTCTTTCTCTGACTGTACCAATCATCCACATCCATGCGTGTTATGTGTTGCAAGTAGATATGTCTT